GGTCTTCTTTTGTTGCCCTGCACAGGAGTACAGAGCTGGAAAGCAGGTTAGTGGGATGGGGAGAGAATGGGGATTTTACAGTATCCTTCCTCTGGAGTGGGGAGGGAATGGAGATTTTGCAATATCCTTCCCCTGCCATGCCCACCAAGCCACACCACGCCCACCAAGTCATGCCCACAGAACCGGTAATAAAAAAAAATTAAATCCCACCACTGGTGTGGAGCTGAGACAACCCTGCATTGTGCAGGATTGGGGGATAAAATTGGGGTGGATAGGTCTTTCCAGTTATGTCACCAAACCTAATGGTAAAATGGACTTAAATATGAGCTTATAGGGGGAGCAGAGATGGGTGAATGTCAGGAATGCATAGACTTTGATGGAATGATCAAGTTGTAGTCTTAAGACATTGGGAATATGACAAGTTGGAGAAGGCTGAATTCCCTTGCACAGTTTTGTAATATTCAAAGCTTTCTCCTATTTTGGTACTGTATACGGATCTGCTTTGTTGCAAACAGATCCTTGGAGTGGAATTTTCCCATTCTGTCTCCAAAGTTGCCTCCAGGCTGCTGATAACTGATACTCATTTGCTTTGAACTCAATATCTCATAAATTATCAACTAGCGGCTAGGAATCTAACCTGCAATTTATAGTGACATGCAGCACAGAGGCTGGAGCTGGAAATAGGATTAGAGAGCTGTCATCCAGCAAGATGCAAGGCCTAGAATATGGATGTTGGTTTGGATTATATATTCCACTGACATTCTCCCTCCAGCTCCACGTAGTCTCTTGGCACAAGGCATGTGCAGTGGTGTGGTTGCAACTGCATGAGCTGAAATGAGCTCTCCTTTCAAATACGTAATTAGGAATCATTGGTGCCAAACATGCCTGAATGTCCACAGGAGAGGTGGGTAGCCATTCATCCTTTCTGCTGAGATACTGAATGATGGAACCAAATTATAATAAATTCTGGTGCTGTTTCATCCATTCCTACCATCCTTAGCCAAACATCAATGCTGAAGTGCTTCGTGAAATCATCAAGCAAATGAAATTCAAAAGCTTTCTCTTCTCCTTCTCACTTCCCAGTTTTGGAAACTCTTGAGGACAAGGTCCGTTTCAGTTCCAGAATTATTTCCCAAAGTTCAGAGCAATTGTCCCACAGGCTCTGCTCCAGGACAACCATGCGCTGGTGGGATGCTGATTTCATGATTCATGCCATTCTCCTTCCCTCCTTTCTAACAGCTTGTGTCGGTCCTAGAGACAATTTGTGCCACCCGGATTCTTGTGTGATAAAAGTAGACATTATTTAAGCAATCACATTCTGTACTCCCACCCACAGACTCATGGTGCTTCTCTGAAAACTAAGATGCAGTTGTTATATAACAGGCATTCTGAATACATAGGAGCTCAGAGTCAAAAACAAAAAATACCAGTACAAAAAACAAGAAAGAACAGCAATCTTGTATTTGCAAGAATCCTCCATGATGTCATTTGCCACTCTCCACAAGTCCTATCTGGATGGATATGAATTTGATTCTCCACTTAGCCCTCCTGTTTTAACATATACCCTTCGGTAGTTTATATAATTTCATCTGGGAACCATTGTCCTGGACAGACATGCAATGTCCAATTTTCATGACAAGCAACCAAAAAGAGTTGGCAAGTTGCAGCCTTTGGACACTATGCTCTGTGAAATCTGACCTGAAGAACTAAGTTATTCATGAGGAAGACATCAGGGCCTAGGCTTTCAGATGAAAGATATTTCAAAATGGCATGTTAGTAGACTTGAGTTAGTCCCTTGCTTCCAGCAAAACTCACATCATCCACAAGTTCCAAATGAAGAGGGTTGGTTGTGCAATTGTGGTAAAAATATATAAAAAAAACCTAAAAGCGGATGCACCTTGTGGAAAAATACATCTTTGCACTGATCGATTTCATGGACATAACACAGAATTTTATGTGGCTATTGCTGTTGCAAAACCACCAAACAACTCTAGTAATCTCTCTGATATCCATTGCAGAATTCATTGCATGGGGTCCAGGCTAAAATAATTGCACTTGGTGCTAATGATATCTATAGAACTTAACAAACTTTAGCAAATAAATATTCCATTCACATGGAGTAAAATTAAATGAAGGTTTTCCATTGATGAAACTGTTGCCCATCGTTGGAATTGGGAGTAGATTAATTCCTTGTATTGTGGCCCTCCTACCTACCAGCAAAAATATGAAGGAAGAAAACCTTACTTATGGATATGCTTTCACTTGTACACCCTAAGTTTATACATTTGTTCTAGTTCCAATCGTTATATCTAGGACCATGTTAGAACTATTTATGTCATTATGAAGAACTAGCGTATGAAATTCTGTCACAGGATGCTACAATGCACTTTAGCATCTTCTATAACATTCTCAGATTTTTGCACCTAATCAAAAACAGAATGAGAAACAACAGAGGTGTTAATAAAGTCAGTAGAGAGGCAAATGTGTACAAGATGCTCAAAATGAGGTATTTCCAGGGTGTGTGTGTGTTCCTTTACTGATATAGATAGATAGATAGATAGATAGATAGATAGATAGATAGATAGATA